GTTTGTCTTCCCCCTCACTTCCCATATTTTCCTATATTTTCTGGGGAATCGAGGATTAATTGTGTCTGTGTGTTTTTTCCCCTCCTGAAGAACGCCAGGACTGAAAATCCGCTGGAGGGCTGGGAGGGTGGCCTGGCTGGGGGACCTGTGCGGGAGCTGCGGGCAGGCCACGGGGATCGCCGGCAGGCCGCTCGGCGCAGGATCGCGAGGCGCCTCTCTCCAGAGCGTCCTCCTCCTCCTCCTCCTCCTCCTCCTCCTCCTCCTCCTCCTCCTCCTCCTCCTCCTCCTCCTCCTCCTCCGCCTCCTAGAGGGCTGACGTCGCCCCATCCTGAGCCGGAGGCTCCAAAAGCGGAGTGCAGAGAAGTGGCAGCGCCCGCGGGGCGGCGGGGCGGCCACCGCCTCGTCCACCTCACCCGCGTCGGCCATGGCGCTGCGGCGGCGGTCTCTCTGCCAGGGCCCCCCCCGAGCGGGAAGCTTTTGCTGGGCCAGGACACTGCCGCGCCCGAGAGAGCCGCAGCCGCGGGCCGGAACGGCCTCCATTCCTCGTTGTCTCCGGGTGGAATGTCCAAAAGTCCTGGTCAGCAATGTCTCACTACCTACCAGACCACCCCAACCCAACTCGAAGACCCGAATTTCGGATTGGGGAGAACGAACTTCACATGCTGTTTTCCATGCTCCCTGGCCCCACTGGGAATGGATGGCAAATTGGGGCCTTCGGGCTGGGTTGGGGTGGTTCGGTGGGCGGGGAATGCCGCACGCGGCAGGGCGCCGGGCGCGACATTGCTGACCAGGGCGTCGGAACTTCGCGCGCGGCGGGGGCCAAGGTCCCGGTGAGTGGCCTGCGGGGCCCTTCGCGCGCGGCGGGGCGCCGGCCGGCGACGCGATCGCGCGCGCGGAGGCGGCGCACCCTCCCCGAGGCGAGCGGGCGGCGGCGGGCGGCGGCGGCGGCGGGCGGCGCGCGGCGGCGGGCCGCGGGCAGAGGCGGGCGGCGGCGGGCGGCAGGCCGAGGCGGGGCGGGCCTCCCCGCGGCGGGCGGGGCGGGCGGGGCGGCGCGGGGGCGGCGAGCGGGGCGGGCGAGAGGCGGGCGGCGGGCGCGGCGGGGCCGAGGCGGGGCGGGGGCGGCGAGCGGGGCGGGGTCGAGGCGGGCAGGGGCCCTCCGAGGCGGGCGGCGGCGGGGGGAGGGCGGCCAAGGGGGGAGCGAGAGGAGCAGGCAGGTATAGGGGTCGAAAGGGGGGACGGGAGGGCAACAAGGGGGAGGGGAGGGGAGGCGGGAGCAGGGCCGGGGTGGATGGGCGAGGGGGGGCCGGCGGGGAGGGGCGCCGGACGAAGTGGGCAGAAGAGGCGGGCGGACCTGACTGGGGGCATGTGTATGGCAAGGGGGGAACTGTGAACTTGTTTGCCTCCCACGCGGGCTCTGCGTGGCAGCGCGGCACGAACGCATGGCCACTCAATCGTCCTTCTCCTTCGCCATCTTGCACCAGAGCGCCAAGCCGACGCAGAGAACCTGCAGGGCCCAAACGTAAGCACCACCAGAGCCTCCCTCCCCTCGTCCACCCATCCTCAGCCCTCATTTTCGCCATCCCCTCTCCGCGGAGGCTGAGGGGGGAATGAGGAGCGATTGCTGGCGGTGCCAGTACATGTTCTTTGGCCTCCAGCGGACCACTGTGACTCCCCACTTGAGCGGCGTGTCGAATCGGAACGCGTCCCACGCAGACAGAATGTAAACGTCCGGCAGATCCTTCGACTTGATGTTGCCGCCAGGCGTCACCGTCACCTGGGAGACTGTCGAGGGTTGTGGATGCCACGACAATGGACACCCTAACAGTCCTATCATCGAATTAAAGATGTGTTTTAAATGTAAGAAAATGTCCTGGGAATGCTTAGACTTTAAATTTTAAAACAGTTTGAACACATGTTCTAGACATCTGGAAATTATTTGGCAACATGCTTCCTCTCCATTGATCGTCCTCCACAGGTCGAGGAAAGAGGCGCATTGAGACGGAGCGAGCAGAGCCGAGATGCTCTGCTTACTGCTGAGGGCCTCCAGGCTCTCGGCCCTGGCCTGTCGGCGAGCAGAGCAGAGGAGCCTGGATGCGCTCCATCCGCTGCGGGGTCGCAGCCGTCGGTCAGCGCACGCGTAGCGTCGCCGTGGATCAACAAGCTCCGCGCACAGAGGAAAAAAACCAACCGCGCCGTCGCCGCCGTGGCCCGCCCACGCAAAACTAGGTCGCACATTCACCAACGGCGGACTGCTGGAGCAGACGGAATCGGACGGGAGTGAAGGGGAGGGGACCCGAACCTCCGACGTCGCGATTCATTCAATGCGCGGGGCCCGCATTTCCCAACCCAAACGGCCCCCCGGGCTTTGAAAGTGGCGAAGACATCATGCGTGCTGTTTCTGGACGTCAGGGGAGGGGGGGGGCGAGGAAAAGGGAGGGCAGCTACCCTTGTCGGCTACGGGCAAGAGTGACCCACGGCAAGCGTGGCCTTTGGCGCGCTGGTTTTGGGAGGCGCAGAAGGGGACGGGGAGGGGAGGGGGGGGAAACCAGAGGCGCAAGCCGCTGCTATCGCAGCGCATTCAGCCACCGACGCCGACCTCACGAGGGCAACGATGCCGCAGGGGCCCTGCCACCCTCGCGCTGCGAACGACTGCTTGCCGCGGACCCGGCGCTCGCGCAGATCGGTGGGGCGGGCACAAGGCCACTCTTCACGCTGGGGCAGACGCACAACGGATGGGCTTCGCCGGTTTGGGGCCTCTGGGGCTCCTCGCTGGGCCCCAGGACAGTCACAACATTACTCGGGATCAAAAGCGGCTCCCGGTGAAAGGGTCCATGCTCTCTGGGGAGTAACGCCGTGGACAAAAACACGGCGTCGGATGCCTGGGGAGCGAGGTCGACATCGAACGCGCAGGATCGAGGGTCGAGGTCCTTGCGCGCTTTGCAATCTTGTTTGAGCCTGGCTGCACAGGGGATTGCACGGCAGAGGCCTGGTCCAACCCCCCCCCTCTGCCCTGAGCCCTTCTGGACTGTCCAGACAACTCCCTGGACCTCCGACAGCTCGAGTTTGTCGGGTCGCTGGCCACGAGAGCTCTCTCGATCCCTTCCCTGGGACCGGTGAGTCATTCCGAGCCGCTTCTTGACAGTCCCGCCCGAAACGCGCCTTCGGAAGGCCGAGACAAGCCCAAACACAAAAAGTCACGACGATTCACGCCACGCCGAGATCTGAGGGCACCCTCCTGCTTTTAGGAATAAGAGTCGCCCATGGGCTCCGGTACGTGGGCCACCTCCTGAACTTTGAGCGCGCGTACACTATCGGCGAGTTGGCGTCGCCGTCGCGCATCTCCAGCAGGTACCACAGGTTTTTCTTGCCCTCGAGAGCGGGGGGGTGTCGCGTCTGGAAGCGCCTCCTCCTCCTTCTCCTCCTCCTCCTCCTCCTCCTCCTCCTCCTCCTCCTCCCCACCACCACCACCAGCACCACCACCATCATCGCCACCATCCTCAACCTTCTCTTTTAATTAATCCTTTTCCTCCTCCTTTTCCTCCTCCTCCTCCTCCTCCTCCTCCTCATCATCATCATCATCATCATCATCATCATCATCATCATCATCATCATCATCAAAGGCCGCCGCGAGCTCAAGCCTTCGGTGATGCAGCGGTCGCCTCAGAAAAAAACCCTATTGTTCGCCAAGAGGCAGAGAGCACACTGCAATGGCAGCTCGCACGGATGCCAGCTCCGGAGGTGCGCCTCGTGCGGCATGCTGACACGTTGCATGCTGAGGCCCGTTGAGGAGGTCTCCCACAAGTGGGAGCAGCACTACAAGAACAAGCCGCTGCTTTTGCGCCACATATCCAATGAGCACACCGAGCAGCAGCTCAAGCAGCTCGACGGCGCCGAGAAGAAAAAGCTGGTGGCGCTAAAGGCGGAGTACGAGCTGCGAACGAAGTTCGTGGCAGTGGTGCGGCGCAACCAAGACGAGAAGGTGTACGACAACCACAAGATCGAAACCAAGGGTCAGGTTGCCATCGCCATGGGGAACTACCACCTCACCTGCGCAACTTACCGAGCGAAGTCCAAAGTCGAGTATCACTTCCAGTGCCACCGTTGCGACGATGGCAAGGTGCGCATCTTCTTGCATACTGTCAAAGGGAGCTACGTCAGGTTCGTGTCGTGCCGACTTCGGCGCTGGCTTTTGACACCGCGGGGATCGTTCAACCTTGAACGATCGGCCGTTTCCGAAACGTCCAAATCTTTCCACATCGAGCGATTCTGGGTCGCCCGCGGCGTTCAAAATTGAACGCCTCTGGCGGGGTCGCCGCCGGTCGACACGACACGAACCTACCGTACTACTTCACTTGTGCCGCCAACGGAGAGCAGTCCAACATCGTGTACATCGTTGAGTATCGCGGCTGCGACGACGGCAACGTGCGCACCTTCTTGCACTTTTCGTTCCCCGCAGTTCGTGCTCACGCAGGAGGCGTCCGAGAGGTCACAGCAGGAGAACCTGAAGGCGGAGCACGAGCCGCGCAGGAAGCTCATGGAGGAAGTGCGGGGAGGCACACTCAAGGATGACGTTGCCAACATCGCTGGAGCGGAGCAGTACCGCGAGAGGCACTACGACGAGCCCTTCGCCGACATCATGCGTTACGGAGTGCACAGTACCACAGGAGGCACTACGACGAGCCCTTCGCCGACATCATGCGCTACGGAGCGGAGCAGTACCACGGGAGGCACTACGACGAGCCCTACGTCGACATCATGCGCTACGGAGTGGAGTTGTCCCGCAGGAGGCACTACGACGAGCTTTTCGCCGACATCATGCACTACGGAGCGGAGCAGTACCACGGGAGGCACTACGACGAGCCCTTCGCCGACATCCATCATGCGCTACGGAGTGGAGCCGTCCCACTGGAGGCACTACGATGAGCCTTTCGCCGACATCATGCGCTACGGAGTGGAGCAATTTCACGGGAAGCATTGCGATGAGCCCTTCGCCGACGTCATGCGCTACGGAGGGGAGCAGTACCGCGGGAGGCATCACGACGCTACTACTTCACTTGTGCAACTAACGGGAAGATGGTCAAAGCCGAGTATCTTCGCGAGTACCACCGCTGCGCAGAGGACTTTCTTGTACCTTTCGTCCGTGCAGTCCCTGGGTGTGCTGGAAGGCGTGTTGGACGACTGATGCATTTCCAAAATTCGAATCCGAGAGCTATCCAGATGCAAGCATGATTCCCCCCTGAACGAATTCGAGATGATTGGCCTCACGACGGGGCTTGCATGGCGAGCCTGAGCCACGGTTTCTTCTCCCACCTCCGATCCTCCCAACGCTCAGCATGCAACGCGGGCATCGCCAGCTGTCTACGGTTTTCCCTGGACCGCGCGCACATGTGTGCAGTGCCCCGAAGCACGGCTCCTAGCGAGCTCTT